ACATGACTTCACCAGTGTCACTTACCGGTATGCACCTCAGTCTGGATACAGCACAGGACAGGATACGCCCTTGCAATTGTCAATAAGATAAAAAGCGTACTCACGGAAAATGCTACATGTAGCTGCAGTATCTGCTCGCTGACTCAATACTGATTCAATTTAATCGTCACGCAGAGATTGCGGCGGTACGTGCTCGGATGTCACTTAGGCGATCAAGCGATTTCTTTTTCTCAAGAGATCCCGTGTTCCTTGCTGCGGCTCACTTTATACCAAGCCTCCTACGAGCCCGAGCAAGAGCCGGGCTCCCGGGTTCTTGGGTGGAGCCCGGAATTTAAACTAGGCGGGCTCTCGGGATCCTGTGTTAAATAAGTTAAATATAAGGAGTCCGTTGTTATGGTCGGGATCCCGGTTAATTTAGATGCGTGTGACTTATTTGAATATCCAGGATCCAGATCAAGATTTCAGCAAACCAGGGCGTCTCAGTAAGGCCATGGTTCTAACAAGATCTCAGGCCCGTGCCGCAGCACAAGACCAAGCGGGCATACTGGAAGGGATTGTTACCGAGGTACACGATGAAGAGCTCCTTGCTGTCGTCCCTGCACATGCCCCTGCGCAGAATGTTCGCCTAGAGTCTCAAGTCTCAAGAATCGTCGACAGCTTCTGGAGCGAGACCCAAAGACTTGCTGCAGAGACTACAATGATGCAGAGCAATCAAGTTCAACAAGCGAAAGAGTACCACGCCGCCTTGGCTGCCATCCACCACGATGCTCGAAGCAGTACGGCTGAGCTGGCAGCACACCAACAGTGGATTGAGGGCCAGATACGAAAGGCCCTGGAAGACACTAACTTGGCTCTACAACAAGAACTGCAAGTTATTTCCAATGCCCAGGTAGTAGGTAATGAATCTTCGCGTTTATTTATCCAGGAGCAGCTGCAATCTGCGCGGGGGGTCGCGCATCTTGAAGTATTGGAGATGAAGAGTGCGATAGCAGCCCAAGCTGCGAAAGTAGAGCAGATCGAGAGAGAAATGACAGTAGCAATCACAAATGCTCATAGCGCACTGGCGCAGCGGATAGATGGTGTGCTTTTGCAACCACAGGCCGCCACTAACGGAGATGTAAAAGGCCAAATGGAAGAAATGTGGGATGCAATGCAGAAGCAGATCGACATGAAGTTTCAGCAGATGACTTCGAGTATTGTGGAGAACTGTATTGCAAAGTTGGAGGAGAGTGGAGGTGTTACCACCGGTAGATTGACGATTTGGCGCGTTCAAAGGCTGGTGTCGGAGTACGTGGCTAATCAGGAAGAGAAGATGGAGCATAAAATTAAGCATCTTGTACAGAGCGCACTCACAGATTAGCAACGAAATGATAAACAGTTTCGAAAAGATTGGCAACAACATGCGTGAAAACATTCGCCAGCAGCTAAAAGATGAATCCGCAGCGACAGAGGTACACATGGAAAACCGAGTCCGTGACATGCTACAAAAAGCCCATGAGGAACGCGTAATTGAATCGCGTCGTCAAATGGAGGCCACTCGCGCAGTTGAAGGGGAACTTGAGCGCACCCGCACAGAACTCAACACAGAAGTTCGAGAACTGAAGGCACGACTCGATAAACTCGAAAACAAGACGAATGAGAAGTCACCAATTATTAGAGTGCCACCAAAACGTCGTACTGAGCGCGGGGATAATACAGTACCCGTCCTTGTAAAGCACATGAATGATCTGGCGAAAGAAAATAAGTGGTCTCAAGATAAGCGAGTGGGTCGTATGGAGCAGTATGTCCAAGCAGAGCTACGTCGAGTTCTCCAGCTTACACCAAGTCTTAGCGTCACAATTCCCCCGGTTTCATCTGATCCTGTACAGCTCCGATCCCAGCAAGAGCAAGTTCCGGTGCCGCATCATTCTACTAAGGTCAAGCGCGCAATTGACCAAGCACAGAAAGCTGTCAAGCGTCGATCGGAACTGGCCGCTCGCCGATACGATGCTCTTCACAAGAACGAGACGAATGGTAGCTGATGATGACACCGACCTCTATATGTTAGTCATTGTTATGATTTTTAAATACATTTCGTGCTCCATCAATGATGTCGAGAGGCTATCCTTCTACCATGACAGCTATTAATACATTGTATTTATTATTGCTTTCCGACCCAACTCAATTACGCCAATGCCAGTGGGGACGGACTTACACATTAATCACTTTCACGATACCGTAGACGCACAGCCTTCGACAAACTTGTCACAAACCATGTCGGAGGAATCGCCTTGCCCAGTAGCATCGCTTCCTGATACGACATACGCTGCCTCCTCGTCAACGCCGGCGACGATGACACCTTTCCCTCTAGTCCAGACACGACAGCTTCGCCTACGATTACTATGCCGGCGACGACGCCTCCGTGTCCGTGATCTCTCGTCCGACACGGGGACCCATTCTCTGTTAAAACGCCCTTCCCAGGGAACTTGCCCCCGGCCAAAATGGTCTCGCTTTTGTCGACAGCCGCGACATCTTGCTCAATGACATTCTTGTTAAGACTGGATGAACCCACGTGTCTGCACTGGCATGCTCGGCACTCAAGCGATGAACTGATTATCGGCTATCACGCAGTGCTACATCCCCACAACGCATCATTTCGGAGCAGACAAGGACGGTAATTTCTGGTGGCACTGTGACCACAATACCCAGTACACGTACGGTCAGCGTGGGTCTCTGATAATTCACCCACGCGAGGATCAGCTTCAGCCTTGGGAGATGGACGTCGGCGCCGAATACAAGGTCCAACTGGCGAAAAAAAGGCTTAATCTTGATCAACAATCGCGGTCGCTACAACTGTGCCGCTGCAGCATCACACGGCTTCAAACAGTGCCCAGAGGACCAGCCACTTACTCATTTCCGCTTCCAAGCGGGTAAATCATATCACCTCCGCCTCATGTTCATGAGGGCACTTGACCAGTTTGAATTCAGCATTGACGGGCATCAACTTCGCGCCATCGCACCGAGCGGAGAATCACTGGAGCCGTCCAAGCTCATCACCAACATCACTATTAACATCGGACAGCAAATTGACCTTCTCGTGGTAGCGAAGAATACCACGGATATGTCCTTTGGATGGCTCTGAATAAGAGCAACGGGGCTCAACCGTTTATCCTGCACGGCGGCGCCACATTAACGCTGGCGAGGGATTGAGCGTCAACGGTCAGGCGATGGTATACGGCGAGGAAGATGACGTAGCCGAGCCCACCACTTAGTACTGCAACGAGACGTCGACGGTCGGTGAGAACGAGTTGACACCTGGAACATCACTACGTTGCCTGCAACCCCAGACAAACAAGAGGTCATCGAGAAGCCGTTTCATCTGCGCAGCCACTCATCGTGCATGGTCGGAAGCGGTCATGTCATATTGGCTGAACTGCCGCCGTATGGAAGAGCTTCAGGTTATGAAGGTGTCGTCGCTCGCCAGAAAAATGACGAAAATGTAGATACATGGACGGCGACCGCTGCAATAGTAGTATCACACACCCTTTTCCTCTTCTTCAACGCTCGCTTGAGAAAATAAGTCGAGAATCATTTCGTCTTCATCATCACGTGGTGTAGCCTCCATTACGTAGCTCACACACTGAGGGATATGAGAATCCAGTTCATCGTCCGGGATTGACTCGCACTGTGCAATGTCCACAAAGGCTTCGTTTCGATTAAGAAAAGCACACATGTCGACATTCTCGTTTGAAAGGCTTGCACGTTGTGATGTCACCATCTCCCCACACACACTGAAGTCTCTCTCGATCTGGGCGGATGATGAGGGTAAAGCAAATAAAACTTTCGCCACCCTCGGTAATATACTGTAGCCGCCACTGTGCTCCATTCGCATCCAAAAAGCAAGCACGTCTTCATTGGCTCTCATCTCAGTCTGATCAATCTCCCAGTTGCGAAGCTCCTGGCTAACTCGATCAGGTTGAGTAGGAAACGGACGTTGAGTAGCACGGTTTCCAAACCGTGCACGTATACCGCTGATGAGGGGTGGGTCATCTTCGGCAGAATGCTGACGACGCACCATATCACTTGCAACAGGGTCTACTACCTTCTCCATCAATGTACGAAGCCTTGTCTTCACTGCCTCATTCACGGAGCTAACGAACACGGTTATTGCATCTTCCGACATTTCTTTTTCCTTGTACAACATTTTCACGACCGCGTTGAGGGACTTCTCCGGGTTTTTGAAGTCAGGGTGCAGTCTTTGCTGCATTTCGAAAACAAAAGATCCTTCATCGAGATAAGTCTCACTTGTGTAGCGGCAGAAGAAACGCGGATCAAAAGCACTGCGTAATAATCGCCTAGTTTGCACCGCAATCTCTGTCAGGTCGTCTACTGCAATCCATTTGAGCGAATCGGGCTTCGATCGATAATCTAACAAAGCCTCCTCCAAATTCAATGTGTCGAGACGTATTTGATACAGATCCATGAGCACTTCTACTTGGTTAGGACGCTCGGCCTGGCAGAGTCTCTTAAGCCTCGAGATTGGATCCAGCAGTGATAAAATCTGCTGAAGATCCCTGCGACGGTTTTTCAGCCTGAAAGATGGCGGAGATACGCGCTGTCGGAGGGCGAGGCGGCGCGTTCGTCGTACCACTCGACAAGTGCTCCCCACTTCTCCAATATTCGGCGGATGGTGCCAGTGATGCTCAAAAACCGATTCGCCGCGTAACCTAGTAACTGGGTAGTAGAGGTGATTGTCTGCGTTCGGCAAAGTGCAGCAAACAGATCTCCAGTCTTTTCATTAGACTGGACGTCAAAAATTGTTCTCTTGATGCGGGCAATCAGCTCCGTCATGACTGGATTATGGGACCGCTGAGCATCTCCATTCATTCCGCAGGCTTCTTTAGTGGCAGCATGCGCCATGTGAGCCATGCACCATTCCCATTTTAGTTTCAGCCCCCTTTTTAGCAAGCTTTTAACATCAGGGCCACCGTCGCTTGTTGCACCGAAGAAATCACTCGGAGTCAGCCCAAAATCACCAAGTAGTTGAAGAGTCCAAGCCTTGTAAGGACCTTGAATCCCCATTTCACGGTCTCCATAACTTGGTGAAAATCTGCGCACTCCGAGAAGAATAGATCGGAATTCCCAGTTAGAGTCGATGAAATATACACGAGCGCCCATGTATTTCTTGTGGGTAATTTTGCACGTCCAGAAATCACTCATTATGACGAAATTGCCAAAGGACCCCAGTTTGCTGTCCCCCAACACGCTCATAATCTCGACTCGCGTGGACGAATAGAGCTCAATAATTGCTCGTCTTATCTTGGCTGCGTTTATAATGATCTGTACGTCTTCTCGCTTTAGCAGGGCTCGACAATACGGGATTCTCGGTACTCACCAAATCTGAAAGGGAGGTTGTTATTGATAATTCGTAGCGTCTCCATAAGTAAGGCAAATCTGCGCGGATTGTTTTTGAACAAGGATGAAGAACGTAAATGCTCGATCTCGTCCTCACGTTTTCGTTTCTCACCCAGTTGTGCTTTCGTTCTCATGGACACAACTCGGTGGGCCGCTGCTAAGTGATTCGCCGGTTTAGACGTGCGATACCAGGACAGTGTACAATTGGTTCCGTTTCTCCTGCAGGTTTCGTCAGCTAGGTAAATCCAGTGACGAACAGGAACCCCACGCTCGACGACCTCAACGCGGACGCCCCATTTGTATATATAGGATGTCTCCTTTTCTGTAGGAGGCTTCAGCACTAGCCCTGGCACCTCAGGAAACGCTGCGATTGCGTTTGTCACCGCAGCGGGTGGCTTTATATTTGCAACTTCGATATCACTTGCAATACCACGCACGCTGTGAGCATCTGCCACCACAGCTGACGAAGACCCATGCGGTGGCACACGTGCTGCTGTGCTTTGGTCCACCTGACCAGCTGAAACAGTTGATGCGCGCGATGCACCAACACTTGAAGCAATGACTTCTTCACCATTCTGGCTAGCCTGCTCATTTGTCGAGTTATTGACGGGCGGAGTGACTGCGTGTGTCTGCGACCGCGGTCGAATGGACGTTAAGCTTCTTTGTGGTGCTCTACGGGAGGCCGCATCTCGTCTATCAGAGTCTGGGGACGCAGCTTCGCCAGCCCCCCCCCCCGTCAGTCCTTCCTGGTCCTGCCCGCTTGCGCGCAGCGCGCGTATCTCTTGGAGGCGTTGGAACAGACTTGGCCACATTTTCGAAGTGTGGAAAAGAGAGCTGCGAGCTTCAAGCTGTGTTGAGTCGACAAGTGGTCTAGATTGCATCCTAGAAAACTGAAATGTAGTTATCCAATCAAGTCGCGTAGACACGAGCCTGAATAACTAAAATAAAGTGCCACAAGAGCCTGGAATAAGAGCCTCAAAGAGAGCCTGCGTTGGGTCTGTACTCTCGGACTTAATTGGGTGGAGCCCAGTGCTGTATTCGCCTGGCTCCAAAAGATATGACGGAGCCGAGGTCCTTGAAGATACAAGCTCCCCTATCCCTGGGCTCGTAGAAGGCTTGCTTTATACTGTAATCGTCGTCGTGGCAGTGCAAAGGCACTTTTCGTAACGCCTCCCATTTGGGCCACACGCTGTACCCATTTCAATAAGATTTTGGAAGGAAAACTACTCTCCCGCGACGGTTCTTCAACGTCACTACTCATACTCAACCAGCGCCTGAAGCTTGCAGCGATCGCTCGCTCGAGCTCTCCCCCCAGAACGCGCCAGTTTCACCATCAGCGTCGCCGATCGCTCATCGCTCTTCGCGTCCAGTCTACGCATTCGTTGGATCTTCTCTCCTTGGCTCAGGCAACTCAGTTTCGCCGCCAAGAAGAGCGAGCGACTCAGCAGAATCATTGGCCAGGCCTTCTTCTGCTTGCAGACACGGCCGCAGCCGGTGGCCCCGTACGTTAACGGAGGAGTAGTGCTGAGCTACCACGCGCCTGGAGCCCCCGAGGACGTTCGCGAGCGCCTTACGCGCCTGTTGCGTCTCTCCTCCGACATGATGACCGATCCGAACCTGATCGAGACCGCAAAGGAATATCTCCACCAGGGAGATGACAGCGCCAGCGATGGGGACGCCGCTGAGGTCGCCGACGCTTTCCACGCCGACGAAGACAAGCTGCAGCGGCTCACAGTACAGTCGCTACCTTACGTCAAATGCCGTGAGAGTGTGAGCGCCGTATTCAGCTTTGACTCGGCTGCTCGCCGCCGCGTTTCGCTGGCATCCGACGCGACTTCCGACACGGCCGATTCTTCGCCTGAACACTCTGACAAGCTCCCCACGTCGCTCTCCTATTCGGTACCATCCACCACGATGGTGACCAACACTCCTCGCGGTCGACCCGCCGTGGACGTTATTGCCACATACATGAACACCTGCGACCAGCGCACGGTCAAGTCGGAGCTGATGCGCGCCCACGCTCACTTTGCGTCACCTCGAGGTACGGTAACAGCCGCATTGTACTTGAATTCTTGCCGCCTGCTGTGCTTGAAGTTGACGTCGCAGACGAATGAACTGACTGTTGTGATTTGGTGACTTGTCTTGTCGTTGGGACGTTTGTGTGTGGCGTTGTTGCTGGTGGTGGAGAAGGCGGTCCGCCGTCGCGCATCCGCTCGTCCTCCATGATGAGCAAGGAAGGCAGCGCCGAGTGGGGCTGGTTCGCAGACATCGACTCGAGCAGCGAAAGCTGGGGCGGCGACGGCTCCGTCCACTCGCTGCGACGTCGACTTAGTGCCGACTTGGGACTTATTGACGTGGGCAACGTCCACGTCTTGGGCGATGAACAGACCAACACGCGCAATACAGCAGCGCACAAGACATTTACTATCGTCACAGAGGGTAACAGCAAAGTGGTTTCCGCCACAGTGTCCATCCCAAAGTTCCGTATCGTGCAGTCACGCGCTGGTGCCGATCGCCATGCGCAGTATTTAATCACACTCATGCTCGGCAAGGAGCTGTACGCAGACTGGCGACGGTACTCGGAGTTCGGAGAGCTAGTCAAGACTCTGGACCAGACGCGGTACACACGCACACAAGACGCATGGGCAGGCATCGAGACGCGCTGGTTCAACCGACTGGAGCCGTCGTATCTGCACCAGAAGTGTATTACACTCGAAAACTTCATGCGTGAGCTCATGTACGAATCCAACGAGCCGACTGTGCTGATCAATTTCCTTGGAGGCTACATGGGTAAGGTAAACGCGCGGCCAACAGACCCTGTGGGCCACAGGCCAGCTGCACAACTGCCAAAGGAGCTTCGTCCACCGCAGCCGCAACACGAGCGAGAACTGTTTGAGAAAATGTGGGCTGAGAACTTTAAGCGGTCACACGTCGACTACTCTCACAGTTTGCCGTCGGGTCAGACGGCCAGCTAGAGCTGAAGAGTAATGAAGGGGTATAACGATAGTGCGCCATTATTTGATTATTCGTGTAAAGGTCACGCTGACCAATGCACGTTAGCTTTTTCTAATTGGACTTGAAAGACCTCTAAATCACAGGCGTGTTTCCTAGTTGGCAGGAAAGTCTATAGGAACTTAATTTTGAAGGCTGCGGCTGTCGAGTAGCAGAGTTCGTGCTGGTACACGATGAGATCGGGAATATGGGAGATGTCACGCAAGTAGAAGAACTGAGCGAGTCGCGACTGGACGATGAGTGGGAATAACCATGGCGACACCTGCTGAATAGCAGCGTCAGCGTGGAGTTGCACCGCTGAAGATTGACCAAGACGTACCGTTGAAACTAGCGAATGCCAGCTGAAGCCGACAATCGTTCCGACAATTGCACCCACGGCAACTTGGTCCTTCGTGTGATAGCCCAAGCGCACTCGAGAGTAGCAAGTGAACGCAGCAAGGAAAATACAGCCGGCGATAGTGATCCACTGCTCGATGTAGCGGTGTGCGTTCAACCTGCGGACACAAATTTTAACGGTTAGTAATTTCCTGCACTTTTGAGAGCATACCGGATGGATTTACCTCGAGTACGTATAGGCGACGGCGTAGGAGGCAAAATACGAGATGAACTGCGAATGGGCTGAGGGCATTCCGGAGCCACTCATACGTGCGCCATCCGGTCGCTGCTGGTTAATTGTCTTCTTGAGGATCTTGTTGATCACTTCACTAATGACCTGCCAGCCGTTAGTCAAGGTAATTGAATCCAATGCAGCAAAAGGCGAGTCCTTACCTGGCCAAGAAACATACTGACGCTGTCCAAGTCGCGCTGGAAGGTGACGAGCGTCACATGCATGAGCGTCACGAATCTGCCGTTGCATTTCTAGTTAGCTCCGGAAGTCCTTAAAACAAACGACATGTTAATACGTACACTGGCGAGAGAGTGAAGAGCGCCATGATGACGCCGAAACGGTCTGTTGGGTCGTATATGACCCATGTGAGCTCGAAGGCCTTGAGCGCCTTGCCCTTGGTCTCCGCTGTCTTGGTCATTGAGTGCCACGTTTTGCTGTACCGAAAAAAATGTATCAACCGATGATCCGATGCGATTTGCACCTTACAACGTGAGCATTTTTGGTTTCGTTTTTCGTCATTCCTGGAGAGCATGAGGCGCTGGGCGTTGTCATCACCTTTATGAGAAGGGTCCAGACAAGGCTTCAGGGTTCACAGCCTTGGTTGAAAATCTTGTGCATCGATTTCTTGCCAATTCATTTTCACTTCTTTGGAAAAAATCAAAGTTGCCAGAAGAGTGCGTGTAGCGTCCATTCCAACTCAATAGTTAGTTGATAGGATCACATGTACTAATTTCTTTGTCGTGCATTAATGTCTTGAAGCCAGAAGAAACACGCTTAACTAGCTTCGCTAGCACATACAAGGGTAACGAGCTGTCGTTTGCGATGAACGCTCACTGTACGATGCGTTTCCACGACGATATTGAGCGGAATGTCATCGTCTCATCCAACAGGTTTCAGCTTACGCGACTTCTACATGTAGTCAAGAATGATCCAAGTGCATACTACAGCGAGAAAGCATGAATTTTGATAATTGTACAAAGAGCAAGTTAAGTGTACTGTAGACGAGCATTTATCCGACCGAAATCGATACATAAAGTGCTCTCATCATTTCTTGTAAAGCAAATGATACAGGAACTGGACGTCATTCGGATCGGCATGAAGGTGGTCTCCTTATTAGCAGCGCCGTCATAAATGAACATTTTTTTCTATTTAAGCAAGCACGATCAGAATTTGATGTTCCCCGTGCGTAGTTCTTTGCTTCATACACCTACTGAGACTTCTTCTTAGGAGAAGTAGCAGTAGCCTTTTTGCAAACTTCGTGTTGGTAGACAGTCAAGTCGGGGATGTGCGAGATGTCGCGGACGTAGAAAAACTTGGCAAGGCGCGACTCCACTAAACGAGGGAACAACCACGGAGAGGCCTGTTGAAATTTCCGTGAATGATGTCAAATTTACACAACAGTAGGCATAGTAATAGTAGCTAATCCAGCTTACCGCAGCGACCAGAGCGTACCAGACAGTCCCAGTAAGCACCCCGACGGCGGCACCAACAACCACTTGGTCAATCGAGTGGTAGTTCAAGTGGATTCGCGAGTAGCAGGTCAACACTGCCGACATAACAGCACTGAAAATAGTGAACCACTGCTCCAGAAATCGACGGGAGTTCAGCCTGGTAACAGCCACGAACAGCTTGTCAGTGCCTCAAATTTTGAAGCGTTATCGCACGGTATCTATCCCCACCTCTTCCATGTGTAGATCACCATGTAAGCTGCGAAGAAACCCATAAATTGGGAGTGCGCCGATGGCATCCCCGGTCCGCTCATATACGCGCCTTCCGGTCGCGGCTGGTTGATGAGTTTCTTTAAGACTTTATTGAGCACGACGCTCACGAGCTGCGAGCAAGCAAGTCCGTTAATGCCCCCCCAAACAGCCCATACAACACCAAGAATAGGCGCAAATTCTCCTACCTGCCCCACAAGCATGAAAATGCTGTCCAAGTCTCGCTGCGAGGCCACGACTGTGAGGTACACGATCACGAGGAAGCTACAGGGCCATGTCAGAGGGAGCAATATTCATACTCGTGTTCAAAAAAATGAACGCACATGGGGGACAGCGTGCATAGTGCCAGAATGGCCCCGAACGGATCCTTTGGGTCGTAAACGACCCACGTGAGCTCGAACTCCTGCACAGTCGTGGCTGCGTCCTCCATTATGCGAAATGATTCGCAAAGTGCGTGGCATCAGGTCACTATTTAAGAGGGGAAAGAGTGACGTCTCAAATTGTCACATGTCACTATTCCTGACCGTGATAGTGCCATCTAATCATGAGTGCGCAGGCAACTCGACTCGAGAGTCTCTTCCTGCTCGTACGAGGTCCGCAGTTGTCCACCGGCTTAGATTATGCATTCATCAAGTGCGTGTTTATTTTCTCTATCTAACTGAAGTAATTGCGCTGCTAGAGCAGATGGAAGCAGCGCGCAGATCCGTGAGAATGCGGCGGAGAAATTAGGCGAAGTGGCCGCACGCTCTACCGATGTCTGTGCGTCTATCTTGCAGCAACTTCGACCTCTGATTGTAGACAGCGAGTGGGATATTCGTGTAGCTGCCTCTAAGTGCCTTAATGTGGTGGCGCACTCCTTGCGGCACGAGGACGAGAACGTCGCCGATCTCTTCGCCTTGGCCTCGTGTACGTGGATTCTTGTACACGGGCATAGGTCAGTAGCGACAATGAATTATCGCTGAACCTGTTATGGTTGCTGTGGTGCTGTGGCTGTTAGTCATGAAGCTTCTAGTGCGGCGCTAAATCTGCAGACGGTGGATATCAACAAGGTGGTGCAGGAGGGCGCACCTTTGTTGCGCAGCGGAGGAGAGGTAGAGCAGCTATGAAGATAGTAGAATTACTGGGACTGACGTTGGGTGGTGTGTGAGGTAGGAATATCAATACACGACGAATATGACGGAGGAAGAGCGGAAGGCTCATGCTGTGAAACAACGTCGACTATTGTTAAGGCGATTAAGTGGAGCAGGAGGGCCAATCTGGAAAACACGCGAGGATTCATTGACGAAGCAACTACTTCCACGACTTAATCGAGACCGTATGAAAGATTGTCGAACACAGTTTGGCGTTGTTTGGGTACTGATTTAATGTGTGGATACTGCAGATGCCCAGGAGATTGCGGATGATATCGAGGCTAGCGAAGCGCAACCTCGCCCTGAAGAGGAGCTTTCTACAGCTACCAACCGGAAGCAAGCAAGTGAAATGTTATCGATTCCATCACGACCCAAACGTCGCTTCGATAATGACACGGCTTCAGAGAGTGACGTAAAACGGCTGAAAGCGGGTCATTGCGGTGATGCTGAGGATGTGGTTATGGTCTCTGGGATTGGCTCCAACGGTCAGGGCGATGAATCTAAGACGCAAACGAACGCAACAATCGTCGCAGCGTTGGTCTCGGATTTGTTCGAGAGTATGTTTGATTCCAAGTGGGAAGTTCGCCACGGCGCTCTCTTATCGTTACGGCAGATTCTTCTATCCGCTCACTTCACAGCTGCTGTCGAAGCTGTTCGTCCAGTGGCGGACAACATCATGCAGCGAAGTTTCGTTGATAAGTGGCTGGAAGAGTGTTTGATACGATGCATCTGTGTACTTGCCTTGGATCAGTTTGTGGACTACTCGGCGGATGGGTCGGTTTCTCCTGTACGCGAGGTTTGCGCGCAGGTTTTCGGTATTTTGCTTGGTAGTCTCTCGAGCGAAGCGACTCTGGTGGGGTATTTGCAAGTTGTGCGGACGCTGTTCAGTGGATCAACGTGGCAGGCTTGTCATGGTGGGCTCTTAGGACTGAAATATCTGGTCCAAGCTCATAAGAAGCATGCGCAAGTGCTGATTCCGCTCTTTTATGATGATGTTGTGACGGCATTCTCCCATTCCGATTCAGAAGAGGACGTGCTCGTCCTGGCCGCTGACATACTTCGAGATTTCGTTTCGTTCTTGGATCGTGTTGAGCGTGTGAAGATTGCGAGTGCTGCTGAAATGTTGTGGGGTTCCTTGGAGCGTCACGAAAAAGCTGGGATGGTTACCTCAAGCATTGTCCGAGCACTAAGCTCTTGGCACAGTCACCCAAGAGTTTCAGAACGTTTGCAGAGTAATATTGGAGTTCAGACAGCTCTTTGGCAGAACTTATCGCGTACAGTTCCAATTCTTCATCACCATGCGCAATCTGTCCGAGCATCCAGTGCAACCTGCGTGGCAGCCATTTTTTCGGGCGAATCTTCGTCTTCAAAGTCGAATCCAACCCACTTTGCTCAAGTGTTTCTACCGCATTTACTACTTCAAGTACTTCTTGAGAAGGAGCAGGCGGTTCAACGAAGCTTACTATCTGCGTGGAAACAAGTGGTCAGTAGGCTGTCGAAAGAAGAGCTACTAGTGCCTGTTGTTGCTGAACAAGTACCAAAGTGGATGGAGTTACTGTGGTCGACGGATGAGATCAGCTGTTTAAACGTTGCAATGACCAACGCAGAAGATGTGGTGTCCGTTGCAGATGTAAGTTGCGTCGCAGATCAAGTAGCACAAGAGAACCTGTCCTCACGAGTAGTGTTTGCCGAGGCTGTTGGGTTTGCTGTTGCCCACGTTCCTCTTTCCAGTGCGTGCATGACGCAGTCGGTTCAGTTAGTCCGCGATGGCTTAAGCAGCAGCTCTGGAGAGCGTCAATGTGGAGTGCTGCTTGCATTGGCAAAATGGGGCTACTATGAGAAGCATTTAAATGCCGAAAACCCGCAAGAACAGTCACGACGAATGCAGCATTTACAAGACGCAATTGGACCTTCTCTCGGGTCGTTTGCGGAGAATCAGTGGAGGGCGGTTCAGCCTGATGTAGCAGCAGAATTCTACATCGAGCAGCATGGCTCATTGAAACGAGTCGTGCAGATGGAAGCTCGAATTATCGACATCTTTTCGTCGGCAGGGATCTCGCTTCAGTCATCAGAAAGACCAGCCTCGGCGTCAGCAGCAGACATTTCACGACAAATCGCTGAACACATCGCTCTGTTCCCCTACGAGGCCTTGCAAAGTTACCCGAACGAGTTTGAACTGGCACATTTCAAGCGACAAGACGTGTTTTTGGTGGACGAACTGGTTCAACAAAGCTTCTCTCGCTTTTATCACCGAATACAAGGTCTGGGCAGTAGTGCGTACTGTGAAATAGTCCCGATTCCTACAAAGAGCGGCTTCTTGGTCAAAGCGCTGATGAACTCGATCAAGGAGGAAGACGAATTTGCATTCCGAACTATTTCTTCGCAGACGATTGCGGGCTTTGTGGTGGATCAAGCACGCACTCAAAAGAAATGTGTCGCAAAGATCATCTCCAATCTCTGTAACAGTGCTGCAGCGTTGGTTAATGTATCGAGCGATACCAGCGACCCCAAAAAAACCTCGCAGGACGACCCTACCTCTGTTCCTCCTGACGTTCTCAAGAAGACAAAAGTCCGAGTTGCTGGCGCGGAGGCAGCGTTGAGTGCGATTTGCAAGCGCGCTGGAGATTGTTTATTTGAAACGTGTCATGCGTTGGAGGATGCCATTTCCAAGGCCTGGATGCAGCAAAATACCGACGAGTTTACTATCCAACGAAGCATGCACTTAATCACGCTGGTGGTGCCGCATATTACGAGTGGTGCGATGAGGACCTGTTTATCTTGGCTAGATCGAATGGCGCAATTGATGCAGCAGACTTGTGAAGACCATCAAACGCGACGTATGGTGGCTCAAGCTGTTGCAACTATCTGCAAGAACGCTGAAGACCAACATCGCGAGCATGCGATGCTCGTTGTATACAACTCGATCTTTGTGGCATTTTCCAACCCTGGCACTGCGAAGACTGAAGCGCTTGAAGCTGCTGTGATGGTGTTGGATCGTATCGTTCACACGCTTGGAGCTGACTTGACGCCATACATACCAAGTCTCGTTCATTACGCGATGAAGACCATGAGCTCGCAGTCTAAACTTGTTCGCACTTTTGCTGCGGGGGTATTTGCCGACTTGGTTCCCTTGATTCCGCTTCAAATGGATCTCGAGCTTAGTGCTTCGGCCCGGTCGCTTCCTGGTTCGCTGAGAACAATTGTGGAGGAAAACGCTGTTTCACGCAGTTTTCTCGAGAGTTTCACGGCTGGGAAGGCTGTTCAGCATACCGATGTGAAGTCTTGGTTAGCTCCTGAGACGTCATTGCGCTTGTATCAACAGCACGGAGTGGACTGGCTCAGCTTTATGGCCAAGAACAATCTCCACGGAATTCTTGCGGATGATATGGGTCTTGGTAAAACACTACAGACGCTATCTGCTATGGCAGCCACGTTAGGAACGACAGATGCCGCCACGCCTTGCATTATTGTTTGTCCACCCATCATCGTTCATCACTGGATTCACGAGGTCAAGAAGTACATTCCTGGCGTCTTTCATTCCGTCGTCGATTATTCACTGCCAGCGAGTGATCGGAAGCGTTTACGTCGCAGGAATGGTATCTCGATATCGTATCATGGTCCGACGTTGCTCGTGACGACTTACTCGATTCTGCGTACTGATATTGAGTACTTACGAGCAGCGGACTTTGCGTATGTGGTGCTTGACGAGGCGCATTTGATTCGAAACCCATCCACGGGACTATTTCGTGCGGTGTTAGAGCTTCACGCATCGCATCGTGTCGCCTTAAGCGGAACTCCGTTGCAGAATAATGTTAGCGATTTGTGGGCTTTGTTCGAGTTCTTGATGCCAGGATACTTGGGCGACTTCGCTGTGTTTCGCCGCGAGTTTGTCCTCCCGATAACTAAGTCGAAAGAACGAAATGCCACGACGAAGCAGAAGGAGCAGGCAGCGATCGCAATCTCGAAATTACACCAGAAGGTTCTACCATTTATTCTTCGGCGAACGAAAGACCAGGTGCTGGAAGAGCTACCCCCGAAAATCATCTCCAATGTGCTGCTACCTCTTTCTCCGCTGCAGAGACGGCTTTATGCGCTGGCGTCGTCGACAGAAGATGAACACGTGCACTCAGAGCGATCTACTCGAGCCACGAAGAAGCAAGAAACGCGTGTGGATACACAACCATTGACCAACGTGCTGACAAATCTCCAACTACTTCGCAAGATATGCGTACACCCAGCGCTGGTTGCTGACGACGCAGTTACTCGAGGTCTGACTCTAAAGGAGAAGAGAGCGCTTGTGGACTGGAAGAGCTCGGGAAAGATGACGGGATTGCACGATCTCTTGGTAGAGTGCTGCGACTTTGCGGCACGGGATCAGAGCTCCGCGTCTGGTGATGACGATACCAGCTTCTCTCCTCATCGGTGTCTGGTGTTCGCTCATCTGCAGAAGACTCTGGATCTCACGGAGCAAATGTTGGAAAACGCGTTGCCTGGCGTGACATATCGTCGTCTGGATGGTCGAACTCCACACACGAAGCGTGCCGATATTGTGCAGCAGTTCAATGCTGATCCTTCGATCGACGTGTTGCTGTTGACTACATCCGTTGGAGGCCTAGGACTCACACTCACTGGCGCCGACACTGTCATCTTCCTTGAGCACTCGTGGAACCCCTTTGTCGATCTGCAGGCAATGGATCGAGCACATCGCATTGGGCAGAAGCGTACAGTCCGCGTGTTCAGGCTTATCATGGAGAGATCTCTTGAGGAACATATCGTAAACCTCCAGGAGTTCAAAGAGCAAGTTGCGGCTACGGTGGTGCAGAAGAGTGATGCTCGAAGCAGCATGAACACGAACACGAAGGGGGTGCTGAACTTACTACAAGCATCATCATCCGCAGTGGCTGCGAAGGAGCTTCGACCATCAGTTGCTGCAAAAAAGAATGGCGAGGATGATCAGCACGTTGCAGCTGCACTGCCACAGGGAGCTCAAGAACTGCTCGACCAGATTGGTGAGCTGTGGGACGAATCTCAATATGAATCCTTAGCGTTTCCCGAAGACGAGTGAGGGTGTTACTGAGTGACGTCATAAGGGGGTATCTCTATGTGATGTATTGGCTCGGATCTGAGTCTTTACTGGGCATCGATCAGACTTTCGACGTCAAGTTGGATGATATCAGCATCGCAGCCCTACAATAACACAACAGGGAAAAGATGAAGTGGTCAGAGTAGCCATTTATCAAACGTTCAGCGTCACAACATACCAAGATCGACGCGATGTTGGGGTTGGTGCGACCCCGGTCACTGTGCACGAACTCCTTGACGTACGTTCCTGCAGATGTGGTGAGACGTAGAAGCATGTAGTGCTTGTTCAACACCTCACACTTGGCTGCATGAATAATCTTCGGCCGCGTCATCAACGTCCTGCGGTGCAACACACGGACGGGTGTCTGCTGCTGAATGGTAAGGTCTTGGATCGAGTCAATCTTCGCAATAGCTTCCGGTGTCAATTCTCCTTCTGACCAAACAACACAGCTGCCGCAGTCCCTTGTTAGCTCAAGTTAAATAGGAAATGATGAGAGCATATAATTTAGTACCAATAAGTCTTCTTCTTGGAGTCAGCACCAGCCTGCAATGCTGCGAAATAGTCCTTTGTGGAGCTCTTGACTTGCACAATCTCGACAGCGCCATTGTTCGCATCGTTGGCAGCCTTTTGAATCTGGTCATACTCGTCCTCACTCAGGTATGCCTTCTTGGCATCTGCAAATGCACAGCAACAGTCGGTAAGGGCTACCAAACTACAACAAACATACACGTGATAGCACACCCAAGATCTCCAAGATGAAAGGCCTTCCGTTCCCAAGCATCCGCACGTCGACATCTTCACGACCCGCAGTGTGGAACTTGTAGCTCGATCCCCGAAAAAACGGCAGAGCGACATCGCCAATGCATTCTTCCACAGATGATTCGCCCATTCGCACACCATCCAGAACCCACGGCGTTTGACTTAGTCCACGCTGGAATTTAAGGTATCGTCCTTGCATGTACACGGAGTCGCGCTCGAAGGAAGCAGCAGCCTCCGGTGCAGTAGTGAGCCGAGAGGGAGGGCTTTTAATTGACTCAGGCATACTCGTCAGTGCTGCTAGAGCACGAGAAACCGCACCAAAGCCATCGAAAACCGGAGGTGGTCCACGACCACGCTTTCGGGTGCCGTCTAGCTGCTTCTGCAAAAGTAACAACAATGCAGATAGATATAACCACGTGAGTAATTACAATCAAACCACATGCCTTTACAGTTAGCTTGGTGACGTACCTTGATGGCCGGAATCTGACGCACTTCGTCAGCGGATTCATCGTGTTTAATGTCGACCAGCACTGCGAATTCGCTTTTAGTAGCACACTCGGCATTCTTCAGCATTCGCGATATGGTAGGCGCCAGTAAGGACTGTTTATTACAAGAGCAATGAGAGGAATAAGCACAGGTTTCAAGCATACGGCTTCGTGGGTCTCACCTTAAGCACATCCTTCATATCAAACGGTATTTTGCGCGGAAAATTGTCGACATTCGAGCGCAAGAATTTAAGCAGCGCGTACTCCCGCAGCAGTACGACGCTGGGCAGTTTGATGTTTAGAGAGAAGGCCTTGACGTCGTAGTCGGCCTCCTCTGCTAATTGCTGTACATCCGCCAGAATCTTCTCATGGAATGCGCCATTCAGTACACCCACACAGCACGTGCAGCCTAGTAATAGCAAGCACAAATGGCAGCTGTAAGCACAATGGCTGGATAGCTGGTATCCTCTTTGTAGTGGTACTACATACCGACGACCTCTTTCGGCTCGACCACGCCACTCTCTTTAATAAAATCGTTCATTGCATCTGCAAGTTTCTCTTCAGTGTAGCTGCAATGACAATATGCAGACAAATACAGCAGAACATGAGTTAATTTGCAGCTGGGAATGCGTGTCATTGGCTCTAGACATCCTGGTCATGTTTAGCTCCAGCTACTCACGCGTAAACGTCCGAGTCCTCAACTCCAGCGAAGCGCAGACAGCATCGATCGCATACACCCAGCTCCTGGACGCGTTGCAGTGCCTTGGCGGACAGCAAGCCACCGCGCAACACGTTCGAGACGTCCATCCCGACGTCGGTACAGTCCAGTCAAACGCTGACGTTGCAGCGATTAGTCAAAAACTGATGTTTGTTTCAACCAATCGTTTAGGTGGTACTTCTGTTTTTTCTGCCAATCGTAGAGTTGATGCTCTTGTTGCCACGTTTTCACACCCCATACAAATCCCAATATGTTACAAACAAGCCCGGCTCTCGGGTCGATTTACAGTCGACGATTGACGTAGAGCCTCGCGGCATCGTGAAGCGAGCGAAGGGGGGACCGCCTTAGCAGTCAGTAGCGCACTCGGCGGCGGATAGAGAAAGCGAACGAGCCATGCCGAGCTTCTGCCCCAAGTACATCGTCGTCTCAGCCTCCGTCTCCTCCGATAAAGTCTAATTCACGTTGCCTTTTTAATCAGATGCGGGGACTTTGTGGAAGAGGACGCGTGTGGGAAGTGCGGCGAGAAGGCGGTGCGTATGGCGGTTAATCCGCGTGATTAGAACTAGAAGTGGGGATATTTACGCTGTCAATGGCTGCAGGTGACGACCCAGGAGAACCCGTGGAAGGCAGCGTCAAAGGAGCCGGGAGGCGACAAAATGAGTGTCCCGGCAGTGCCCACGGCCTTCACAGCGGCAGCACGTATCAAGATGATGGGGTGCGTCGTACGCATATTCCTGGTAGTGCGCTGTGTCTGCTGAGACTTACGTAACGTTATCCTATTGATTTTTTCTAGGGTGCAGCCTGTACCGGAGCCTGCGCGCAAGGAGCAGGCAATTGCTCGCTTCAACTTCGTCCCACAGGATACCAGCACGCAATTGGCGTTGTCTAAGGGTGACGAAGTGGACGTCGTGCGGAAGGACAACGATGGCTGGTGGTTCGTCATAAAGGACGGCGAGAAGGGCCTCGTTCCCGGCTCGTATCTGCACATTGAGAACCCAATTATCCCCGTCACGGATGCTGCGATCTTAGCAGCCCGTGAAGCCTCCAATCAGCGATTCATGGAGCTGCAGCGTACCACTGGAGGCGCCGGACAGAGCGCAGAGGCAGGCGTGGAGTACCAGTCGCCGCTGGGCTTGGAAGCTCTTGCCATTGCCGACTCGTGTGCCCCCAAACCGCCCAATGGACCTGCGCGTGGTGCAGATGCCAAGTCTGGAGGCACAGAATTTAAACCTGGCGAGGTGCGCAAGCTCAGGAAGTGCTACGCATGCAAGGAGACCATTCTGGGCCGCACGAAGGTGTGCAAGGACCAGATTTTCCACGAGATCTGCCTGTTATGCAAAGGATGTCGCGAATCCATCGAGGAAGACGAGGATTTTACGCTCATTAAGAAGAAGGCGTACCATGCGGACTGTGCCAAGGACGTTAACCACTGTTTTGTGTGCGACAAGGAGATTCTGGGTCGGGTGTACCGCGCTGGTGATGGCGCTTTCCACAAGCTTTGTATGGTGTGCTCTGTGTGCAACAAACAGTCGAAGGAAGCAGGAGCTAAGCTAGAGAACGACCTCCTAGTCTGCGGCGAGTGTGTTGCGGAGAAGGAGAGAAAGGAGAGAGAGGAGAGAGAAGCGGCGCTGGAACGGGAGCGGGCTGCGGCGAAGGCCAAGGCGGAAAAAGAAGCTGCTCTTGCGGCGGCCAGAGCGCTGGAGGAAGAGAAGGAGCGGAAAGCGCAGGAGGCACAGAAAGCGGCTGAGGAGGCTGCACGTGCAAAGGCGAAGGCGGAGGCTAAAGCGGCTGCAGCTGCGCGTGCACAGGCAGAGCAAGAGGCAGCAGAGGCTGTGGCAATCCAACGAGCTGCTGCTGCTGCTGTGGCGAAGGGCAATGGACGATCGGGAACGGATAGCTTGCGATCTAGCACGTCAAACCTTGACGAATTTGACCTCGAGGCCACGCCTATCGATATGTCGGGCCACAATGGACGGATCTCTGAAGTATCGGACATCGATTCACTGCTTAGCGACGGCGATTACGCTGGATACATGGGCAATGGTCAAAGGGAATCACTGCGCTTGTCGGAGGTGCTTGACCTCGAGTCTTTCGATGAAGATCGCTTGTCAGACCTAAGCGGCATCTCAGAAGGAGCCGGTGAACGCAGTAAGCAGCGGCGTTCGACGGTGGAGAGGACCGTGAATGAGAACGCAGAGACGTTTTCGGAAGACGAAGACGATCGCGAATTGTGCGGCGGCTGTGGTCTTGTATTGGAAGGAGAAGCAGTCGGAGCCTTGAACCAGTATTTCCACTACGAGGTGCGTGGATGGGAACGATGGAGTAGTGGACGACGTCTTCTAACTGTGCTGTTGGTTTTGTGTGTCTTTAGTGCTTCAAATGCAGCTACTGTAGCCGTGTTATCGCTGAAGATGATGGCTACGCAGAGAAGGATAACCAGGTAATGCTAGAGCTGTGTGTCGGTGGGTATGGTACTCGAGCTTAACGATAAGTTGGTTGCGGCTTCAGGCATTCCACCAAGGATGCTATCAGGCTCGCTTCGGCAAGAAGTGCCACCGATGCGAGAAGGTGCTTAAGGGAAAAGTGGTCAAGGCTCTGGACCATCTTTACCACCCGGACTGCTTTGTGTGCTATCAATGCAGCGCCTCCCTTTCAGGTACGCGACGAATCCATTGCTCACTTTGGATGAAGCATAATGCATTAGCGGCACGATACTAATTCAGTCTCTGTGTGGTGTTTTATCGTCCAGCAGAGAGTTTCTTCGAACACGAAGGCCAAGCGGTTTGCGCGAAATGCAAACACGAGGCAATTGCGCTGGATGAGCCCAGCCTTTCGTATGTAACGCTTTGGCTTGGTGCTGGCAATGATTAGATGGACTAACGTGGCGTTGATGCGCTATCCAACAGAGAGAACATGGCCCCAGTGGCCAAGGGTATTGCTGGCTATCGATTCGACGCCCAGGATGACACACAATTGACTATTTATCCTGGCGACGAAGTCACTATTCTCCAGAAGGTTCGTTCATTGCGAGAGAAATAAACTGGTAATGAGTCATTTAACGGTGCCTTATTTTGGGCGACAGGACGATGATGGCTGGTGGCTGGTGGATCTGCGAAACAAGCGTGGTTACGTACCAGGCTCCTACTTAATCGAGCGCCCAATCGAAGAGCCAAAGCCGCAGCCGAAGAAGAAAAAGAGTGCCTTCAAGAGTAAACCCAAGCGGAAGCCGGGTCTTTGCAGCTCGTGCTCGACGCAGAACCCAGCAGAAGCGCGTTTCTGCAGGAGCTGTGGTAACAATCTGATGGCCTAACTGGTGGATGAGTAAGTGAGAAAAAGTAACAAGCGCGCGGAAGTTTGTTTAGAGAAAAGGTACGGATGGACAGGGGAGACACTGACCGAGACCTTGGCCTTATGAGCCGTGCGATGGCTGCTTTGTGTCTGTCTTGCTTTGGCAGCGAGTGTACAACCCCATGAAAATGTCTCCCTGTCCCCGGTCATAGTAGGTGTTTGCTAAGGAAATTCAACGGGCACGTTTTAGCGTCCCAGAGTGTTTTGTCTTCCTTGCAGCCACCAACTTCGATGATGGCTTGGACTTCCGATTCACTTGTATTCTTGCTTTGGGGAGCTAACATCAGGCTGAAGATCATGTTACGTTCGTCTTCCCGAGCTTTGACAGCGCTGACTCGAGACAGCTCGCGGGGTATGCAGACTCGCCGTTCCGTTCGGATGTGGGATCGCGTGCAGCCGTCGCTATGGCATCCGATGGCATCGCTAGAGCAGTCACTTATGGACGTGGAGGTGATGGCTCGTCGAGTGTTCTCGCCACGATTCCCACCGTTTGCGCCGTTCACGCCCGACGTGCAACCGAATCTGCATCAGGGCGACGACGAATTTTTTAAGGACCTGCCGATTAAGAAACCCGAAGAAGCGACTAAAGAGACGTTGCAGGCCGCAGCGCCAGAATATAGCGCCCAGAACCCGCTGGAGAAGGAGGGGACTGAGGCTGCTCTTGATAAGGCGGAGCCTTCTACCGGTGCAGCAGGCGCGGTGCCGCACCCGACGTACTCGTCGTATTCGTACACATACTCTACCGTGTTGGACCACAGTGGCCACCGCATCGGCTCGAGTCGTCGACGTTACGAGGACTCGACGGGCCGTTTGAAGGCCACGCATGAGCGCGAGATGGACGGCAAAAAGTTGAGAATGGTGTGGCAGCGCTCCAACACGCAGGACGAGGGCGGTCATGAGACGATCTGTTCAAACGGCACTGCAGATGAGTTCGAGAACGAGTGGGTCGAGACGCCGTTTGGTCGCGCCGAGGATGAGGAACTTGCCAAGTGGATGGACGACCATGAACGCAATGTGTACCAGGCCTTTGGCATCGAATACAACCCGGATGAGGCGATTCCGAAGTGCGAGACGCCCGAGGAGCGCAAGGTGGTGGAGGAGGGCAGCCCGGAACGCACAGACACGATTCTCAGAATGTCCAAACGCCAAGAAGAGGAGACGACGCCCCCACATTACACGTCGTAAGCGAGTAAAGTTGAAGCGGGTTATGCAGAAATCTGATAATTCATTCTACCGGTAGTATTATATTTGTTCCATCATATCAAAAAATTATGTGTGGACCACAAGTCTGCTTGGATTCGAACTTAGTCTGCAAACTTCAGTTTGTTCCCGCTTTGACCATCTTCAAAGCCAAATCAACCAGTCATCCCCCCTCGTCTCTTTCGGTCACTATGGAGGAGCAGCAGCAGCATGACGAGCCGATGCTCAAGACCTGCGACTCGGAGGCCACGTCGTCCTACGAGCTCGGCGGTTTCGGCGTGGATGCAGCCATAGGCGAGTCCAAGCGCTGGCTGCAGAGTCTGGAGAAGAGCATCCGAGCAATTGTAAGCATTCGTCTACTGAGTGTGCGCGCGTTTGATGGCAACGGCGCCAGCTTCAGCGTGGCCACGGGCTTCGTGGTGGACATGGAGCGCGGTCTGATCCTGACCAACCGCCACGTTGTGACTCCCGGGCCTGTAGTAGCCGACGCCATCTTCCTCAATAAGGAAGAAGTGGACCTCGTGCCGATCTACCGAGACCCCGTGCACGACTTTGGCTTCTTCCGGTTCGACCCCAAGAAGGTCAAGTTCCTGCAGTTGCACGAGATCCCATTGCGACCCGAGGCCGCCAAGATCGGCGCTGAGATCCGCGTGGTTGGCAACGATGCGGGCGAGAAATTGTCCATTCTTCCGGGCATATTAGCCAAACTGGACCGCGACGCGCCGTCCTACGGCTCGACGTCTTATAACGACTTTAACACCTTTTACTATGCAGCTGCTAGTAGCACAAGTGGAGGCTCTAGTGGCTCTCCCGTGCTTAATATTGACGGGTGCGCTATTGCGCTCAATGCTGGAGGCGCCAAGAAAGCCGCTTCTTCCTTTTACCTTCCTCTGGATCGAGTCGTACGAGTACTGGGACTCATCCAACAGGGCAAACCGGTGCCCCGAGGGACGATCCAGACGATCTTTCGACACACAGCGTTCGATGAAGTGAGGAGACTGGGACTTCCCGGAGAGACAGAGGCACGAGTGCGACAACAGTCCCCACAAGAGACAGGTATGCTCGTAGTAGACCAGGTTGTCCAAGGAGGACCAGCACACGACCAGCTGCGCACTGGAGACGTCCTTATTAAGTTTGCGGGACACTACGGAGCGACTTTTTTGGCCATTGAAGAATATCTCGATGCTCACGTTGGAGAGACCGTTGAAGCGCAGTTCCAACGTGGAGACGAGCAGTACACAGCCACTATTACTATCGCAGACTTGCACTCCATCACACCCGACAGATACTTGGAGATTGGAGGAGGAATTGTACACGCGCTGTCGTATCAGCAAGCTCGCAACGCCTCACTACCTGTGGGTGGGGTGTATCTGGCTCAAGCCGGACACATGTTCATGAAGGCGCATCTAGCTCAGCCCTGTATCATCACATCGGTGGCAGGACAAGCCACACCGACACTAGACGACTTTGCACGCGTTATGGCGTCGCTGCCGAATGGGTTTCGTACCGTATTAAGGTACTTTATGATCCGTGATCGTCATCGTGTCCGCACTGCTTTCATTATGATGGATCGGCTATGGTTCCCGATGCAAATGTGTACTCGCAATGACGAAGACGGACTCTGGTACTCGAAGCCGTATACGTTAGAAGCTTCAAACGGAGAGAGCGCTCTTATGACTGCCAATGGAAACCCGACGTTTGCGCCAGCCCCGTTGAGCTTCCCTGGAGGCAATGCTATCGGTAAGAAGACGCTGCTGTCGCTGGTGATGGTGTCGTTTGACATTCCGTACATGATTGACGGCATTTCGAGCTCGAGTTATCACGGGATGGGCGTTGTGGTGGATGCTGAGAAAGGCTTTGTGCTCGTGGATCAAAACACCGTCCCTATCGCATTAGGCGACGTGTTGATTACTATCGCTGCAAGCGTCGAAGTGCCTGCTAAAGTGGTGTTTGTACACCCTGTCCACAATTTTTCTATTGTGCAGTATGACCCGAAGACACTGGGCGCTGTAGCGAGTCATATTGGCAGCGTGGAGCTGGCTGAGAAGCCGCTAGAAGTTGGCGAGACGGCTGACTACATCGGATTGAGCAGCAACTGGACTGTTGTCACCATGAAGTCTGTTGTTACGAAGCTAGACCGACTTGTGCTGCGGGATTTCCAGCCGCCACGGTACAAAGCGTGCAACATTGAGGTGCTGCACTTTGACCGCATCACCAAGTCCGTGGGCGGTGTCTTTATCGACGAAATGGGGGCGGTGAATGCTCTTTGGCTCTCGTTTAGCTACCAGGACAGTGCTGGTCGCAAGGAAGTCTTCCGTGGCCTACCGATTAGCGTCGTTCGACCTATTGTTGATGAGCTGCGGGCGTCTCGTATCCCGGAATCTGTAAACATCCTGCCGGCGCAATTGCTGACGTTCTCCTTGTCGAAGGCTCGCTCCGGTCTAGGACTGTCGGACGCGTGGATCCAGAAGCTCGAGTCTTGCTACGAAGACAAGCGTCAAGTACTCGGGATCAAGCGTTGTGCTGCTGGTACGGACTGCGCCGGCAAACTCGAGAGCGGCGACTTGCTTCTTGCCATTGATGGTCAAGTTCTAGTCCGGGACGCTGATGTGGAACGCGCTGTGGACGGGAAGACGGAGCTGACGGCGTTGGTTGTACGGGACCAGAAGGAGATGGAAGTGAGTGTCAGCACGTCTCAGCTCTCGGCGATGGGCACTGATCGCGTCATTGTCTGGTGTGGTCTTGTCATTCAGAGTCCCCACTATGCAGTAGCGAGCTTGGGTTATATCCCAGAGGAAGGAGGCGGTGTGTATTGCTCGCGGTGGTGCTATGGCTCTCCGGCGCACAAGTACGGTCTGCGTGCTACGATTTGGCTCGTGGAAGTCAACGGCGAGCCGACCCGCACATTGGACGATTTCTTGCGTGTGGTCGAACGCCTGGACAATCGCGAGTCGGTGCGTCTGAAGACAATTTCCATTAACACTAAGCCCAAGGTGTTCACGTTGAAGACAGACTACCACTACTGGCCTACCGTCGAGTTGCGTCGAGAAGGGTGGGACTGGAAGTACGTGGAGCATCCTTAAGAACCACGTAAGGAAAATGATGCAAGTGTCAAGCTAAAAAGTCAAGATAATACAAATACATAGAGCTGCACTCTGGAAATACACACGTGTTCTGCTCCATACAAGCCTATTCTTGGTGGATTTCACCCTACTTCTGTATTTAATGGGGACGGTGGGGGTCCAAGCAGTAGACTTCGGTAGTCCAAGCCTCGATGGACAACATTCAGCCTTGGACGATGAGAACGTCAACGTGATTCAGACCAAATTATTCAAGCGGAGACGAAAAGCAACCGCACTTCTAAATGGCGACCCGAAGCGCGGATTAGCTCCAAAGTGTTGCGATCGCTGCAAAAGCGACTTGAATGGGAAACTCATGGTGCGATGCTCGACGTGCTCGTTCCGCTGTCATCTCTATTGCTTCTCGCCTCCACTCAAGCAGCATCCAGGGTTTCTCCTTCGGAAACAGCAGCAGAATTCTCAAAGCGATACATCGCCGATCTGGAAATGCGAAAAGTGCGAAGGCACGTCGGTTGTCTTCAACGTTAAACCAAAGTCAGCTGGATCTCCGACAAAGAAGCGAGTCCGCCAAAACGATGCAGAAGTGGATGCATCCCCGCTTCAGGTGGGTCCATCGATTGAAGTAACTAACACGGATTCAGGGTGGATGCAACCAGTGCAGCCCCAATGGATCGAGAGCTCGAAAGTTGTGTTTGATTGGTATCGATACCGAAGTGAATAGACCGAGACTTTGCGCTACAACGAGACTCAGAGTCGGAGTGGAGTGGATGATCTGGTGTTCTACTCGAAGAGCTACGCGGTAATGAAAAAAACGACTGCAATTTGGCGTACGCACGTGATGCGTCGGCGACGACATCGATACCAACAGGAGCTTGAAATCAAAGCGTTGCGTTTCTACGACAAGAAGCTCAATGTGATGCACGTACCGCAGCCAAACGAAAAGCTCACGGTGAGGGCAACGCAGGAAGAAGAATTTGAAGAGGACGATGAAAATCTCGTGAGTATCAACTATTATATTCCATACTCAAGAAGACGTCCACGGCTTCCATTGTTGTGGAAAGGTGAACCACCAAGTGCTTTGATGTGCTGGACAACAGGAGAGCGTGTAGAAATGGCTAATGTGATCGAGGAGCTCGTAGAACGACTGTGCTTAGCAAGTGAAGACATTGACGCACCGCTACTCCAGATCCAAGATAATGTTGACTTCTCCATTGACGCGGATGAGCTTGCTAATAGCTCAATGGACCAAAGGCATGACACTGTAAAAGTTCACGCTGCTGTAACTTTTATCCAGTCGTTCGTTCGCCGTCGTCTTCGTCGTCGAAGAAATGAGCGAGCTAACCGACGACGTCGTGCACGTGAAGAAGCTCGACGCAGAGCCAGGGCTCGAGCGTCAGTGTCGCTCTTACGAACTTGCATTCAGTTCATTGTCGTCCTCATGAAACTGCTGGGTCAGGCTCGTACGAAGAAATCAATGTTGCTGGCTCTCCGTGATGCAGCCGAAGAAACTCGCGTAAAGAACGATGTTATGATAAGAGAAGCGAAAGATTCCGAGGCAACAAGACTCATGGAACGACAGCGAAAAGTGCAGTTAGCAGAGGTGCGGATTCGTCGCTTTTTCGTGCGACGCGTGTATCCTTATGTGAAAATCAAGAAACACGTGATGGCTCGACGTCTTCAACGCTTCTGGAAGAGCACGTACTATCCGTACAAATGGCGAGACGCAGCCATCACTGCCCGACTTGCCCATCGTAACAAGGCAAGCATTCAAATCCAGAAATTTTACCGAAGTTCTCGAGTTCGGAAGCGATTTCAAGCGTTAATTGAAGCGAATGCACGCCGAAAACTGCGACGAACTCTCACAAGGTGGCTGCTTTCACGTCTTGCTAAGAAGGAAGCCAAGCGGTGTGCTGTATACGAAGCTGCGCAGTTAGCCTCGACGGATGACAACACGCTACCAGATGATGCCTCTCTTGATGGAATTCTTGAAAAACGAGGCGTTGAACTGCACCAGCAAGGCGATTTTTGGAATGCTGCGTCCATTCTGGAACGACTTTGGCAGATGAGAGACGGGAAAATGACGTTGGAGCTGCAGAAAACACTTGCCTATTCGCATCACATGACGTGGTACACGTCCTACGATCAGCTCAATTTGTCTCGAGCACATGAACTGTACTGCAACGTACTCGAAAGCTGTACACCTGGTAAACGTGTCGATCCACTAGTGTTACAAGATGTTGCAATTGTGATGATGCACATGGAACATTTTGGCGATTCCTTGCGCTTATTAGCCAAGTTGATTGAGTATTTCGCTCGACATCCCCAATTCCCGCTATGGTTATTACTAGCTGCGGTAGAGCTACAACAACTAGGTGAGTGGGAGCAAAGCGTGGAATATTTGACGTATCTTCACGATATCCCACCGCCACCGTATGTAGAGGGAGATATTCTAGCACTAGCAGCTATGGGATACGAACAATTGGCAATTGTTGGTGGTAATATGTCAGAAGAGCGAACTTCAAATACGTCGATGGCGAGAGAGGCGTGGCGTGCTGCACTACGGCAATGGAATCTGGAGAAAGTAAACGATGAAAGACCCAGCAGCGCAGCAATTCGAGGTAATGGTCGAGTTATGAACTCGAAAGAAAAGTGGGATTTACTTACAAATTTAGGGAAGCGAGCGCTGGAGCAAGGCCATTTTCTGCTAGCCTGCAGAGTCTACCTCTACGCGTTAGAACGTGTGGAGTGTTCGGACCAGGAGAAACACGCGACTTGGTGGAACCTTGCGGATGCATTTCGACATCTTGGACACCAAGACTTGTTCCTAAATGCTGCTCGACGCAGTCAACCTAACGCAACCGAAGACGACGAGCTTCCAAACCACTGGCAAGAGCTTGCAGAGCAGCAGACGTGCAGTTTTCAAACTGACTTAAAGACCTTGACAGTGCTACAAAAACTACGACAACTGAATGGGAATACCAAGTAATGTAAGAATGTATCATGAATTTTTGGTGTCTAGGAATCGTTGGTATCACGTCATTGCCTGCTCACATCATCGGTCTCCTCGATAGTCGACGCCAACTCGGCCAGGATGTTTCCATCTCGCTTAGAACCTCGTCGACGTTGGGACCTTCTCCTCACATTATCTTCAACAGAAAGGGCTCCTTCTTCGCTTTGCCGTCGAGGCGAGTTCCTTCTCGGGTCTGATCCCCGACGCTGAATATCTTGTAAAGCAGCAAGCGCGTCACGCTCTCTCACTCGCATGGCTCGTATACGAGCACCAGCCAATGCACGATTAAAGTGCAGTGGGTTTTGAGTCATAGTCGCTACCATTTCCAGTTCATCATCCTCGTCGTCGTCGCTATCATCGTCACCCGTCGAAAGCCCTTTACGCTTCCCGTGATCTACATCAACGTCATCCTTCAGATGGCGACGAGGGCTACTGAAGACCTTCTGGACTCGAGTGATGCGTTTGTAGTAGTCTGGTCGAAGTGCAACAACCAGCTCCGTGATCAACACAAGCGCGAAGTAGACACAACTAACCACCACAAGAATCGTGGTCGCAATCGCTAGCATCTGAGCTGAAGCGTTTCTGAAACCGGTCTCGTTGCTTCCAAGTCGCCCACTCTCGAACATGACACCGGCTAGTAAGACAAGAGAAGCGCTGAAGAGTAGACACGCCTCCACAGTATTGTGGTCCCAGAGATATCCCACCAGATTCTGCGGCTCCTGTGACGCAAGGATCGCTTCGTTAGCTCCGCGTACACTTGACGTTGGCGAGGCAGAACCTCCAGCCATGCCACTGCCACTGTGATCTCCATGGCCACTCTTCCACGCAGTCACAGTAGACGCGTGCATTTCCATTCGAAGATGTGCTGGCTGAATGAAAGCTTCGCCTTTAGCCTTAGCACGTCGAGTCTCCAGTAACACTCGCTTGGCGTAATCGGCTAGTACTCTCTGAGTCTCGTAAGCACTCATGTAGGGCCGGCAACGCACTTGTAGCGCGTAGTTTACGAACAATACGAACGTGGCTGTAGCTAGTTGGAAGACTGGGTCTTGACGGAAGAGCAGGCCGATACCCGCCAACAAGAACTTTCGCAGGATGATAAGCACCATCCAGAACCAATAATCGGGCTTGAATTGATAGTACAGCTTGGAGAACTTCTTGCGGAACACCCAGCAGTTGGGATTCGTGCGTCGACTTGTTCCTCGCTGCATGGCTCTCAGAAGCTGGTCCTCCATAACTAACGCTCGGTTACGTGATAGCGTTAACAGCACAAAGAGAGGATACCCCAGAGAGTAGACCACGAAGGCCAGTACTGCAAATGGGAAGAGCTGCATATGGATGCCACCGGGTTTGAAACATTGCGTGTAGATGGCTACCATGTATAGTTTGCCATCGGATGGGATAGTTCCAACGCAGTTGAAGACATCCAACGTTGTTCGTGTCAGGTACAGGAACAGATAGTACATCATCACAAGCGTCGAGCCGAACAGCTGAGGCAAATGTGACGTTAGTCTCGTGCGTCGTCTCTTGATAAAACGTTTGTACCCATATAGCGCGGCAAATATTGCGAGCGAAGTGGCCGCTACCACGAGCGGGAACAGCTCGATGATGAACCATTTGTTGACGAACGATACTTGGAAAGCAAAGCACTCGGGTGCGATCAATTCCAAGTTCAGATTGAAGGCCGACAACGTCGAAAACAGGTTAATCAGCGACGAGGGCCAGGAAATCCGAGCATTCCCAAAAATGGATAAAGTCTGGAAGTAGTCGATACCAATTGACAGGAGACCGAGACTCACTCCTTTTCGAGTTAATAGATAACTCACGATGGATGCCACTCCGAGACAGATAACCACGATTGCAACCGAACTCCACTTGTTGTCAGGACAGAGATCGCACTCGGAGTTGAGTTTGTGGTAGTCCTTCTCACATTCACCACATCGGATGTCCATGTAGCCTACAGCACATCGGTTGGCACCCAAACACGCGTACATGGGGTCGCATGCAAAGACCACTTCGCCTTCACGCCAGTAACCAGGTTTCGCCAACGGCATCTCGTCTCCACCCGCGCAAGTAGCGCCCTCGGGACACTCGTCGCAGAACTCGGTCGACGTTCGGTAGTAGCCTGGACTACATTGGAACTTGAGTTGCGTCTGACTTGTAGCAGACATGACGTTCCCACCCACCGACAAGGTGATGCTAGTGATGCCAGCCTTCGTCTTGGGAGGATACCAGATCAATTCCGAAGAGCTATTCCAGACAACGGTCCCGGTGGAATTTGTACTATTATCTGTTGTAGCTGGAGCTGTTGTTTCAGCTAGTTGGCGATACATTCCGTCTTCAAACGTGGTTTCCAAGACCGATATGCTACTTGTTGTTTCCAGTTTTCGCGTGATTGACTGAACGGAGTCGGTAGGGACGAAGGAAATAGTGATAGCGTCGTTCGGGAAGCAACCGAAGTCGGTGCCCTTGATTGTGATCGCATTGGCTCCATTGGCATCCGGTTGGTTCGGCATTTGAGCTGTTATCACTGGCTGATTGTATGAAAACGTCAACGCATTACTCGGTTGGTCGTCGACAATCACGTACACCTCCAGATCGGCCCCATACCCTGCGGGGACTGTGGTTTCGATCACAAAATCTGAGTGACTTGTGAAATTTTCAGCCAATTCTACCGCCGAGTCGACAGCTTCACACATTATTTGCGTTCCTTTGTTGTCGTCACAAAGATCGAGGAAGCTGAAGGTCGGACTGACGACGTATAGCGAAGGATAACACACCAATGTATCGATGTCGATACAAGGCCCGCTTGATGAAAACTCACACGTGTCGGACCCACAAGCCTTCGGATGAGAACTTTGTCCATCGACACGAGCATCTCGACCGCCAATGAGGACTTTGGATCGACTGAATCCGAAGTTTTTCCCGTACAAAGTTATCGTGTAGCCCCCACAAGTCGACAAGTTGCGTGTGCTGGTCTCGTATCCGATCAATTCAGGACTTTGATAGCCGAATCCAATCGAAGTGTTGACCAGCTGAAGCTCAGACACAGTGAGGTTAACGATTCTCGAAGTTCCTTGTCCAGGTGGCAGGTTAAACTTGATGTTCGTGTGGCTGAAGTAGACGATATCGTCGTCGGTAACATTCACTGTTTCAATTGTGCCATCGCTACTTGCTAGCTCAAGATGCCAGTCAAGCGTTCGGACGCCGAAATTCTTGCCCACAAGAGTGACAGACACACGTTCACACAGTTCCGTAGTCGCAGGGCAAGCCCGCGAAGCTGTCTTCAAGCACGTACCTGGGTATACTTTCATTGTTGCATCGACAGACGGATCCACTGTAACATCGAGCCAGCCTGTCGGAGGTGGACTTGCTGTGGCTGTACTAGCACGATAAATGCTCTCGTCGTTTTCAATCAACTGCCACATTCCACCCGTGTACAAGAGCTGTATATCTACCTCGTCACTCAGATACACAGGTTTGTTACTAGAATACACGTCTTCCACCGCCGTGACTGTAACTTTTTGTGATACTCCGTCCAAAATGGCTTGCACACAGTACGAATCGAGAGAAGAGCTTGCCGAGCTTGCCTCGAGATACTGACACTTAATTGGTGTGCCCAGTGTAGCACAGGGCTGATCAGGATCTGTACATCTACAGGTGTAGCCTGAGGTTGGGCCATCGCTTCTACTGATACTGTAGATAACGGGGGCGTCGTAGTTGAACTTCCTCGCTCTATCCACGTTGGTTTGACCACTCACGGTCACAACCACGTCATGTCCACTGCCTTGACCCTCACTTGTCGTGCACAGAATCAACTCGTGGTCAATACTTTTAATGATACAAGAGAATTCGTCGCCAAGTGTAACTTTGTGCTCATTCGAGAATGTGTTTGTTCCAAAGTTCTCCCCGCGAATTGTCATCGTGGACCCACCGGCAGTAGTTGCGTCAACTACTTCAATGTTACTTATTACGGGAGGATTGTAACTAAACGTGGTCGATTTTTCTTGATTCCCAGCGAAAAGTTTCAACGTGTAGCTTTTACCTTCTCCAGGAGGAATTGTTACCGTGACATGACCATGATCAAACGCTGTGATGTCAAGTAAAACAGACACATTGGAGCTGGAAGTCATTGAAACAATTGGGTTGGTACCGAAGTTTGATCCCGTCAATGTTACCACTTTTCCTGCGGTAGAGGACAGCGTCGCAGAGCTTCCAGTCCAATCGACGATAGGCGGAATGTAGCTAAACGATTTTGGACTACTTGGTGTTGTTCCACGCGTAACAATGAGCGTGAGCATCTTTCCTTGACCGCTTGGGACAGTGCACGATATCAGGCGAATGCTACTCACACCAGAAATTGTTCCTGACAGTACCAAACTCGACGGAATGACGGGTGTTGTTATCACGACATTGTTACACGCACTGGTTCCGATGGAGACGCGCGGATTTCGACCAACGTACTTGGCGTAGAGACTCAGTGTCGCCCCGCCTTTCGTTGCTGATAGATAGTTAAGTTCTCCATTTGTTCCAATTGTTTCAGTCTGGAAAAGCTTCGTATCTCCATCCAAGCGGTAGCTTGTCGAGCAATCGAGTACTCCACAAGTAGGGCTGTATGTGTACCAATCAAGAATAGCAGGATCGTCCCAACTGAACGGAGCCGAGTTACTCAGGATCTTCTCTCGGCCGATCACAATTGTTACGTATCCGAGTTTTCCAACATATTTCGGGATAATAATCGTATCGTGAGACCAGGATGAATATTCAACGGACAATTCATAGCTTGCAGCTTCCAAATTGCTCAAAGTAAGAGGGTATTTAGAAATAAGCACACGGCCAGTGGTGTAAAAATTCGTGCCTGTAACAGTGAGTTGTATACAAGAAGGTAGACAATCACCCGGGCCTTCATCAGTGTACACCGAGTCGATCGAAGGACACCCGTAACTTATCGTCAGTAGCGCACTCTTTTGGATACTTGTGGTACCGACCAGAAGCTGCAAGGAGCCTCCACTGCCGTATCCCACAGGAACCCGAACAACGACGTACTCGCTGGTATTCGTGTCGCCAAAGTCTCCGAAATTGACCGTAGGAATACGCCGCGTTGATAAACTGGCTTGAGGTGGCGAGAACATCATTCGAGAGGCTGCGAGAGTCACATTCGCTCCCAGGTTGTCTCCAATAATGGTGACTTGCGTTGAGCCGTCCGTTAGCGCTACAGTAGGGTAGAAGGATGTCACTACAGGAGGTGCGTACGAACTTGTTACAGCTGATAAACTCGATTCCTGATCCCCCACAGACACAATCCAAGAGAGATTCGCACCAACACCAGCTGCAGTCGTACAGATAATAGAAGAATCGTTGTGTTCAATCACGTCTGTCACTTGATACTCTCGTCCAGAGGAGCCGTAGGAAATCGTATCAATTGCCACATTACTAGGTCCGAAGTTACCACCGCGAATAATCACTCTCTGTCCACCACGGACAAGGGCATTCGTCGCACCTTCTCCGTCCAGCGCAGTGATATACGGCTTCGCATAGCTGATAGTAGGCGTCGCACTTGTCAGCCCGTCAATTGTAACAATCCAGGCAAGACGATTCCCCACACCAGGTGCCGTCGTACACAAGATACGCTCATGATCGATCACGATGGAGCAATTCGTAGCAGTAAACTCGTCTCCGTTGATACCATACGTCACCTTATTTATCACGGATTCGTTGATAATACCAAAATTCTTGCCAGTAATAACCACTTGTTGCGCCCCACTCGTTTGAATCTCTGCTTCTCCATCCGGGCGGAACACTTTATTCACAATTGGTCCTGCATACGACGTATTATGTGTCGACCATCGCGATGCTTGACCCTCAATAGTAACACGCCACGCGTGGAATGAGCCACTGCCAGCAACTGATTCACACTGGATCAAGTTATGGGTCTTGGGATCCGTGTACTTCCGTTTGCACTGCACAGCTTGAAGAATTGTCACGTCATCGAATGAATATTCAACAATTGGATCCACGAAAATCGCCGTATCAGGACCAAAGTTTTGACCCCGTATCTGGAACACTGTCCCGCCTGCAGTGGGGGCGTCTCTGAAGCCCAGGACTTCCAGAATTTCAGGAAGATCGTAAGAAGTCGAGAGTGTGCTAGTCAATGCGCTCACTTGGTTGTCTACAGAGATTTGCCATCGGAACCCCCCGCCTGCTCCCGGTAGAGACACACACGTCAACTGGACGTGGTCAACCACAACCTTACAGTCATTTAACTCGAAAGAATGGAGGGAATTCGTGTACGTTACTGTGACATTGGCACAGCCTTGACATCCAAACCCACTGCCGTTCACCAACACTGTAGAACCTCCAGATGTTGGCATCCCTGTTGATGTTGTCACTGCAGTGATGATAGGAGCAGCGTACTGACAGCTGGTAGCGAACATCGCGCTGGCCTGACCGCAAATTACTATCGTGAAGGGAAGATCTTTACCCGTTCCCAGAACACTACGACAAGCAACATTTGAGGCGAGCAGCTTACAGTTCTGTGCCTCAAAGTCGAAGCCATAGAGAACTACAGGCGGCTCGGAACTTGACAATGCCGTAGATCCTAAATTGTCGCCGTAAATGAAAATATTGTCCACATTGCTGCCGTTTGTAGGGAACGCAGTGTTGCACACAACCGAGTGAATTACTGGAGCGCCATACGATGACAACGGAACGGAAGAGGATGCTTGGAACGTCGTATCGCCAAGGCTTGGGACGTTCATGACGAGAGTAATACTCCAGTAGAGATTGGCTCCAACACCTGGGGCTGAGGTGCATTCAACGCCAGTATTTCCATTAACTAGAGAACATTTCGTCGCCGTATAAGGTGACGTTGTTCCGTATGTACCATACTGCACAATGAGCTGTTTAATTACCACCGAGCCATCAGCGCGTTGCTTGAATCCAATATTTGTACCCGTCAGGAGGAACTTCTCGCCACCTATGGTGTCCATTCTGCGAGAGCTATCTGTTACCAGTTCAAACGACTCCAGCGTCGTATCTTCTACATTTTTCACTGTGATAGCGAGGTCTTTGGTGATAGCTAAAGCGTTGATACCACTGGAGTCTCGAGCTTCGATGGTAAGTGTATAGGCTTGAACGGCCTCGAAATCAATGAGATCATTCACGATTAAATCTCCAGTTGTTGAGTCAATTCGGAACACATTGAGACCAGGAGGAGACACTGCACTTAGCGCATACTGGACGGTCTTGAACGGGTCGGAGTAAATATCTGGGTCTGTTGTGCTGACTCGCAGAATCACCGAGCCTATCGCTGTGTTCTCCTGCACGGATTTCGTTGCGATGAAGCCAACAAAGGAGTGTACTTCATTCACATCTTCCACGTCGATAACAATGGTCGTCGTGGCTGTAAGTCTACCAGGGTCTTGAGCGACAAGGCTGAAGCTGTAGCGACGTCGAGCCTCAAAGTTGAGACTTGGTTTGACAATGATTCGAGCACATCTCGTCTGACTGCAGTCCTTTTCAACTTTTACCGAGAAGAAGGAGCAGTCGCTGGCATTCGAACATGACGTTGTGTACGTAAGTGCGTAGCCATCGCCTTCATCAGGATCCATAGCACTGATACATCGTGGCAGCGCCAGGTTTGCCGCATTGTTTTCTTGCACCACGAATGTGTACGTCTGATCGCTGAAAACTGGCGCCTCGTTAACGTTCAAGACATGAACAGTGACGTCTCTTGTACTGCACATTTGCGCCGGATCACAAGCTGCTACCGTACAGACGTACGTTCGTCGCTCTTCATAATCCAAGACTCTTCCTGCACGAAGCACAACTGCTCCACTTGTCAGCCCAAGACTAAAGGTATCAGCACAATACGTGTCGGTCTTGGACTGCAGCGTAAACTGGATCACGTCGTTGTCCGGATCTTCCACAAAACCCGACAGTACACTACCAGCTTGGGTCCCTGCAGCGGCATTCTCATAGATATCAAACGAAAAGGGTAGTATACTACGCCATCTTGGCGCAAAATTGGACTTTGTCGTGAGTACTTTGATGACTGCAGTGGTCGAACAGCGACTGACGCTGCTATCCGTGACAGAAACAGTCACGTCGTACTGCTCCGGATACACGAACTCTGTGCCCGAGGGTGTCCTCGCTACCGTTAATTGTCCAGTCATCGCGTCAATTCCAATTAAACCGGACGTAGCGTTCGTCTTTGCGATCGAATACGTGAGAGTATCAGCCACGTCTTGATCTTTGCCAGGTAGTGGATATCCGATCTGCGTACCAGATTCTGAGCGCTCACGTACTGTGAAGGACACTGTGGCTAATGTCGGGCAATCGTTGGCGTTCAGAACGTTCACCGTAACTCGACTATCAACTGAATAGCCAGTCGTCTTCACTGTTTCATCTGAAGCTCGAATGGTGACGAAATACTGAGCTACCATCTCGAAATCCGGCAAAGATGACGCTTTCCAAGCAAGTCCAACTCGCTCACTAGTGCATAGCGTCGACTCCAGAACTTTGGTTGTAGCAACACCATTCACGATCGTGTCATGCACCAACTGGTAAGGAGAATTCGCTTCGACAAGGGCATAGTAAGAGCACGAAGCCTTATCAGGGTCGCTGGCAATAAACGTGCACACGTCAGCTCCTTGGTCGTTTAATACTGCGGCTGTATTCTCCACTTGTGTACAGATCACAGCATTCATCGACGGTGCCTCAGGTACATCATCAACACGGACAGTGACAAAGCCACTCCCACATAAAGTCGTCTGAACAGCGTCACAAACTCGGACGTTTAGACTGAACGTCGTAGGATCTTTTTCATAATCCAATACACGAGTTGTTCGCAGTTCTCCACTGATCGGGTCAATCCGGAAAGGAGCATAGCTGTCCATGAGTGTGAACACGTTAGCTGAAGTCTGATCGGGATCAGTAAACTGAGCAACGAGAACTTTGGAGTCTGGAGGCTTGTTTTCTTGAATGAACCCTGGAATGCCTCCTACAACCGATGGGGGCTCATTTTCGTCCAGTACAGCGACCGAAATACTGAGGAAGGCCGTGAATTCACCGTCCGAGTATGCTACTTGTAATTTGTACTGAGCTTTGCTTTCAAAGTCCAAAGTCTGAAGTGTTAGAAGTTGGCCATCACTACGTATAGTAAATTCGGACGCATTGCCACTTGAGAGGCCGCTTTGAATCCAGAATCCAGAGCTATTTCCCACTGTTCCATCCACGTCAGCCACTTGGATCGGTTTTCCAACTAGTGACCCTGGAGAGAGATTCTCTTGGATAGTAAATGTACCCGCAGTAAGAGACGGGGGCTCGTTCACATTTCGAACCAATACAGCAACGTTCATAGTAGTCGAGATAGATTTACAGTTCGAAACATCCATTGTAGGATCGCAGGACACGCCGTTGTCTTTGACTGTAATCGAAACATAGAGAACAGGCATCGTTTCGTAGTCGAAAGACGTTGCCGCATAGAGCTCCCCACTATTCGTTATCGACACGTAGGTACTCGCATTAGTATGGAATGTCAACACGGACGCGTGATCCGGATCAGTGGCGATTACTTTCCCGATATACGTTCCAGTTGGAGCATTCTCCGGAATAACCAAAGACCCAGACTCAGCGAATTGTGGCGCCTCGTTCACGTTAAGTATATCCACCACCACTTGCACTTGCGCGTCCAACGCGACCGGGTAGCCGGAGTCTACCACACGCACGCCAAAGAAATACTGGTTCGTACCTTCGTAGTCCAATTTATCCCACTGGACTGCAAGTTGACCAGAGCAGCTCTCAAGTCGGAATGGTAGCCCTCCAGCGTTTTTGTTCACTAGTTCGTATCGTAATGTTTCAGTCTGACCACGATCCGGATCCATCGCACGTATCGGCGTTCCGAAATTCAATCCGGATGCAGCGTTCTCCGGAACACCAAAAGAGTACGACGTTTGCTGGAACGCCGGTGGTTCATTCACATCCAAGACTTTAATCTGAATTTCACGCTCATGGAAGAGCCCTGCTCTATCTGAAGCACGTACGCGAATTGTGACCAAAGAATTTCGTTCATAGTCGAACAATGAACTATCACGCACGGACAAATTACCGCTCGAAGTCAGTGATATATCCGTGGAAGGGAAGGCCAACTCGAAAGTTATCTGATCGGATAAATCCGGGTCAGTTGCTGTGAGTTCGCCGATCATCGTACCAATAGCAGGGTTCTCTGCGATCTCAAAGCAGCAGCTCGTGATGACTGGCGCCTCGTTTACATCGTCTACATAGATGGGCAGTGTCGCCTCTCCCATTAAGCCTCCACTATCCACGACATTCACACTGATCTGAAGCGGTTGGGCGCTAGCTGCGATGGATTCAAAGTCGAGAGTGGCGGTAGCAAGTAGCAATTCTCCAGACGTTGAGACATCGAACCAATCACTTCTAGGTCCGTGAATGAAATATTCCAACGGGGAAGGATACGCGCCAAAAACACACAACATGTTGAACGCTGCGGTGTCAGGGATCTCAAAGTCACCGCCTGAGGTTTCTCGGATGTAGATCTCATAGCTGGTTGCACTAGTACTGCTTTGAGCTGTAATCGTTTGACCTTCCACTTTCACGAACGCGTTTTGTGACATCCAGGCCGGAAGAACATCGGAATCGTCTTCTACCAGTACAAATATGTCTCCGGAGCTGGCCAAGTTGAGCTTGACGTTTGATAGCGGCGCTGACATCGAAGTGGTAACAAAGAAAGCGTCCGGTAGAATCTTGGGAATGTTCGTCCACTCAACGTCCAGAGAATCGGAAAACACAGGCGCTTGATCTTGGAGTCTGGCCACTACGTTGGTACTTCCTGTTGCATGACTAGCAATCGTCAAAAAGCTTTCATCGTCGTGCTCCACGTCAGAAACACGGATGAATCCTATACTGGAGCCAAGTGGCGTGTTCTCCTGGACTCGATACACTTCTCCAGTGACTGTCGGTGCTTCGTTCAGGTTCGTCACAAACACCCAAGACGTTGACACAGCAGCTGCTTGTCCGTCTGAGCACTGGATTGCCAAATCAAAAGCTCGCGTTGTCTCAAAATCAAGAAACCTCGTTTCCGCGTACAACATTCCACTCTTCGCTTCGATCACAAAGGCAGGGGTATCGTTTAGTAGAGTGAAAGACAACTCATCGCCGACATCTTCGTCTAAGCAGTGGATAGACCCCAGCAACTCCAAGTTTCGAGCTCCAGACGAGTCACTGGTCTTTGATAAAGCATACTCATTCGCAGTGAAGTTCGCTGACTGCAACACCGGCGGGTCATTGATATTTATCACTGTGACAGTTAATATCGCCACAGCTTGAAGGCCCTCGCGGTCAGTCACAGCCACAGTAATATACATCACCGATGTAGACTCGAAGTTAATCATAGAGCCATCAGCAACCGTCAGAACCCCCGTAGCTGGCTCAAGTGTGAACGGTAAGTTTGAATCTTGTAAAGTGAACGTCAACACGTCGCCCTTGTCTTCATCCACTGCGCTAATAGTGCCCACAATGGTCCCCTCTGCGCTCATCTCTGCTACAACAAGAGACTGTCTTCCTGGAATTACTGGTGCGTCATTGACATCCACGACGCTGATCGCGATTTCGTTGCTACAGCTCAATGATAAGCCGGTATCGGGGATATCATTCGCTTGATAACGGAGGCGATACACGCTCTGCACTTCGAAATTAGCGTAGATCTGTTGACCCGACGTGAAGCGGACTAGTCCAGTTGCAAAATCGATGGAGAAGAAAGTACTATCAGGAGAGGAGAGCAACTGGAACGTGTGTTTCTGACCAATATCCAAGTCTTGCACTTCCACTTGACATAATCCTTGAGTACCGGGCAGTCCCTTAAAGAGCCCCGCCGAGTTCTCTAGAACCCAGCACTGAAGTAAAGAGCAAAGCGGTGGCTCATTGTCGTTCACTATTGTTATAACCACAGTCGAAACATCCGTTAAACCAGTTGAATCGGTCACAATTGTCTTGAGTTTGTATGTTGGAGTCGTCTCTGCGTCCAGAACCCCCTTTTGAAGCAGCGAAATCATTCCAGACATTGCGTCAACGTCAAACACGCCACTGGCAGCTCTAGTAGCTGCATCGCTCGTGTCCCACGTAAATTTTCGCGTATCATTCAAGTCTGGATCTGTAGCTAGTAGTGCCCCAACAATGGACCCTGCAGTGGCTAACTCATGAACAGCCAGAGCGTATTGCTTGTTACTAAACGAAGGTGGTTCAGGGACATCTGCCACTGTGATGACAAAGGCGAAGGTCGTTGAAACAGCATTTAACGAGGTGATTGCACCTCGGATCGTCAGCACTGGCTCCACCCATACAGAATTCATGTTTGCTAACGCTTCGTAGTCGATAGAAGCGCCAGTCGTAAGAATCTGGCCGTCTTGGCGAATTTCAACAGCGTTTGGGACTGGACTCGAGTCTTTGAATGAGAATTTATAGGCATCTCCTTCGGGATCAACACCTTGCAGTTGGCCAAGTACCTGACCACTTACAGAATTCTCCGCAACCACAAGATTAAGTGTTGAAGCTTGTAGGAGACTCGGAGGCTCGTTGACATCCACGATGGAAATAAAGACCATTACTGTATCAGACAGAAACCCTTTCCCCGTGTCAGTGACGGTGAGCTGTACTCGATGCAGCTTGGAACTCTCATAGTCAAAGATCGCTCGACTGTAGATCAACTCACAACTTCGATCGTCATTTTGAGTAACACGAACAAAAGGGTTCGAAGACTCGCTCACGGAATAAAACAGACGTTGGCTACTATCCGGATCCAGAGCTGTGAACTGGTGTAACAAAGCCCCAACCTCGATATCTTCGCTCGCTTCGATGCACACGTCTTTGTTGTATTCGTAGCGGTCTTCAGCGTTACCATCTTCACGGACATAACAGTTTCGAGGTAGTTGTGGACGCTCGTTGACGTCTACGATTGAGATTTCAACCAGCGTTGCAACCACATTTAGCGCTGAATCCTCGACGGTAACATGTAATGAGTACAGGTCTTGAGTTTCGTAGTCTACATCTCCAGATACACGGAGTTGGCCGGTATTATAGTCAATCGTGAATGGAACTGGACCGCTTTTGTCAGTCACAATGGAGAAGCGGACCACGTCTTGGGCATCCGGATCATTCGTTTCAATCGGTAGCCCCACATTGGCATAAAGTGGAGCGTTCTCTTCAACTTCTCGCTTGATTACACTAGCCACGATGGGCGGTTCGTTCACATCCACTACATGGACTGTAATAGAGCACGTCGTAGACAGAGAAGACACAACGCTAGTCGCGGAAGGGTCATTTCTTGAATCGAAAGAGTCGCCAATTCTTACCTGTATAGTAAACAACTTCACCGACTCATAATCGAGACTACCCGACTTTTGTAAAGCCATCCAGTAGTCATCGTTGGTCTGTCGAATCTCAAACATCCCATAGCTAATTTCATCGGTATCGCTGATCACTTCAAACACGGTGATATTGTTTTTGGCGGTTGAGTCGGGATCTTCCCACTGAATCGGCCCAAACCGCTCGTCTGCTGTGGCATTTTCCAAGATGGATAGTGTCGCATCACGGCACTGTGGTGGCTCGTTCACGTCGGTTAATTCAATAATAAGAGGTTCCGAATATACCATTAAACCAGCTCGATCGGTTGCACTGATTGTAAGAACATACCGATCATGTGATTCGTAATCCAGCGCATCCGACTTGCTCATACGAAGTTCTCCATCGCAAGAATGAAGCATGAACATGTCGACAGACAAACCATTGTGGTCTGTCGCCGACATGAGTTGATAGGAAACCACATCGTACTCGTCTGGATCATATGCTGCTCCCACCACTCCCAGTACTGTTCCTCTTGATGCGCCTTCAGACACTGATAGTGTTGGCTGAGACGTGAATACCGGAGGCTCGTTCAGGTCTGCAATATCGATCCGTACTATCGCACTCGTCTGGAGTCCGTACGAGTCGATGGCGGTAACTAGCAGATCATACGACGACTTGACTTCGTAATTAACAGGCTTCTCCATATAAATGAATCCGTCGTCTGAAATGGAGAAATAGTCCGACGAGTTCTGGGAGAGCGTCACCGTGTCATTTTCTGGATCCCAAACCAACAGACGAGCGTGGCTTCCGTCATCCGATCGCACCCAATCCAGATTCCCATCAACCGATTCTGGTACCCAAAAGTGCCCCGATTGAATAACTGGAGACTCATTTCTATCCTGGACTAGCAATTGTACTGAAGCCGAGCAGACTAAGCCACCGCCGTCTACTGCCGCGACTTTGAATACGATTTTGCGTTGAGTCTCATAATCTAGAGGAGATTTTACCGCGACCTCGCCAGTGTTCGAAAGTGACACAGCGTTATCCAACGCTTCGTCATCGATCATGTAGTAGCTCAACGAGCCCCAGGGCGGCGACGTGTTTGAGTCCGGATCAACAGCTTGGACTTGACCAGCCGTTCCTACCACGTTCTCAGAGATCGAAAGTGTCAAAACAGCTTCAGGAAACGCGCACCGCTCGTTTTCGTTGGTTAATTCAATCGTCAGAGATCCCGTCGTTTGTTTAATCGGGTTGCCATCATCACTCACAGTCACCACGACCACCACCTGACGCACCGCCTCATAGTCAAACACCGTGTCATTCAAAACTTGAATAGAGCCCGATGACCGTCCAACAGAAACCACGTCATTGTTGGCTCTAACTTCCGTCGAGTTGTTTCTTAAGACCAGCGTCGTTCCAACCACCGTAAAGAAATGCTGCTGATCGAAGTCTTCGTCAGTGACTTGAATAACGCCAACAACAGAGTCTCGAGGTTGGTTTTCGGCGAATGAGAACGCCGTCGAAGTGATAATCGGAGCGTCATTACGGTCCAGAACGACGATTTCCAGCACTGCGGTTGCAGTCAGATGACCTCTATCCGTTGCCGTGATGTAGATCGAATAGAGCGATTTTCTCTCGAAATTTAGCAATCGGTTCGAGAACACTGCACCAGAGACAGGATCCACAGAAAACGTATCGGTTTGGTCTGTCTTTGTAAAAGTTAATGTGTCATTGGCGTCGGGATCCAAAGCAGATATTCTTCCAATGAAGGTTTTGTTAAGCGTGGCAGACGAGAACACTGACGTTGCAATCACAGCATCTTCAGGGATATAGACCGTCACGGGAGAAACTTGAGGGGGCTCATTCACGTCTTTGATGTCCACGTAAGCCGTTGCAAAGCTCCGCAATCCTCCTTGAATGCTGTCAGTCGCTTCTACTAGAAGAGTAAATGATCCTTGTCGTTCATAATCGAGCGCTTGTTGAGAGCTCACCACTATCCTACCGTCTCCAGCTACCGACAGCATTGCGAATGCTCCCAGATCATTCCCACTGATAATACTATATACCATCGTTTTGTTCTGATACGTGTCACTGTCGATCGCTGTAACATCTCCAAGAACTGTCTGGACGGGTGCGT